GGTGTTGGTTTCTTCTGAATGTTGTGTTTCATGCTATAACTGAGGCCATATCAGTACTAGAGAGTTTGCGGATTACAGGGGACTGCATTCAGGTGCCTTCCTCACTGTGGAGTTTGTGCTTTTCCAGTATATCATGTGCAGGTTTCCAAAGGAGGCCTGGCAGCTGGAGCTGCTAAACAGGTGTAGGTGCCTGGGAACCAAAGTATAAAATGGAGAGCAGAATGTGATCGAGAGCTGAACTTTTCTTGCTGTGCTGACTTCTTTTTGTAGCTTTTTTGTTTTCCTGTTTTTGTGCTTTTGCTCAAGTCTGGTTAAAGCTGTCGCTGAAGTGAAACAGGAGATCAGTTGACAGGATTTTTAGGGGCATAACATCCAGCTGTGCAATTCTTGGAGTGATTAATTTGTTTTCATCGTGAAGAAACCACTATTTTTAACTGTACGTTAAAATTCTAGCACGTTGAGGAAGCACGAGAGGCATTATAATGCAAATTAAAGCTTACCTAAGTGCCTGTACTAAATGTTAAAAAATCTCTTTAAACTGTTGGTGTCTCGTGACTGTGGTAGATGTTAATCTCCATATAACGTTTTTGTTAAAGCAGCACGAGAGCATGTCACGAATTCAACACTTGCAATATGGAGGGAGAAAAAGTAGCGGCTTCACATTTCTGTCTTTATTTACCAGGTTTGGGCAAAACAAAAAGAAAGACGAGCGCGCGAGACGCCTCACCGACTCCTAGCACCGATGCCGAGTACCCATCCAACGGCAGCAGCGCGGACCGGATTTACGATCTTAACATTCCAGCCTACGTGAAGTTTGCCTATGTCGCAGAGAGGGAGGATGAACTGTCCCTGGTCAAAGGGTCCCGGGTCATCGTCATGGAGAAGTGCAGCGACGGCTGGTGGAGAGGTAGCTACAATGGACAAATTGGCTGGTTTCCCTCGAACTATGTGGTAGAGGAAGTTGAGGAAGCAACTGCAGATTCCCCGAGCTTTCTAAGTTTAAGGAAAGGCGCTTCCATGAGTAACGGCCAGGGCACCAAAGTACTTCACGTTGTTCAGACACTGTATCCATTCAGCTCCGTCACAGAGGAAGAGCTCAATTTTGAAAAAGGGGAGACAATGGAAGTCATTGAAAAGCCGGAAAACGACCCCGAATGGTGGAAATGTAAAAATTCCAGAGGGCAAATTGGTCTTGTTCCTAAAAACTATGTAGTAATCATAAGCGATGGTCCTACCATTAACACTTCCCATCCACCTCAGATAAGCTACACAGGGCCATCTTCTACAGGACGGTTTGCTGGAAGAGAGTGGTATTATGGGAATGTTACCCGACATCAAGCAGAATGTGCCCTCAACGAGCGGGGAGTGGAAGGAGACTTCCTTGTTAGAGATAGTGAATCTTCGGTAAGTGATCTGCAGTGTTTCCATTTGCATAGCTTGTGGCTTTTTTTTTTTTTTTTT